AAGGGCTGCGGTGGCTTATTAAGACACTGAACTGCAGATTGGAAGGTCGGTAGTTCAGCCGTTTGAGACTGGGGGCTTTAAGGGAGGGGGCTGGCCCTTTAAGGAAGGTGGCAGACCCCCTAATAGCCCCACCATAGCTATGGGCCAGGTGTGTGTGTGTGCAACCTGCACAATTGTTAAATTTTGCTTGAGGTTTCTTCCTAGGGTCTGAGCTAGAGCTGGAGCCCGTGATCTGGGGCAGAAGCCCCCCAAAGATTTGTTCCCCGGAAGCCTTTGGGTGCTCAATGGGTGCCTTTTCTGGGGTATCATGGACATATGGGGGTGAGGGGAATGAGTGGTTAAGGCAGGCTGGCTAAAGGGATGCTGGTGGCAGGACATTGGGGACGGGCATGAACCGGCTCACAAAGTTCCAGTCTGAAACCCAGCACTTGTTAATGATACACCTTAGTCCTTTCTGGTTCACTAGGAATACAGTCAGTAATTCTAGACAGAGGTTCCAAAGGGAACCATCTTCCACGTCAAGCTAAATCAAGTTCTTAGTCTTCTCTGCCACCGGTCTAAGGATAATGCCTTTGGCTATGACTATATTCAGACCTGTGGGAGAGGAATCACCTGTGAAATGAAGCTTTCCAAGGTGCCCGGCCTATCATCAACTCTGCTGTCTAATTGAACTGGATGAGGGCAAGTGTTTATACGCTCCTCACTTAATTACATTAAGTGAATCCTAATAAGTGATTCACCTGATAGATCGTGCTCCCTCCTTTAAAATGAAACGCTCACTTAGCTCTTTTGTCTCTGAGCCTCACGTTGTATGAGACAACTCTGGGAGGCAAACCTCCTTAATCAGTGGTGTCTGGTATCCACTGGGGTTGGTGGGGCAGAGGTCATGGAGGCCAATGGGAGGCAGGTCTGGGGTCAACGGTAGGTGGAGCCAACAACTTTAGTTTCATCCCCATCCTTCTCCCTTGCAATGATACTAAAACATGGCACCCACCAACATCTTTCCTTGCACCTGCCAAGAGTTTTTAGAAAGTGAGAGTGGACAGGCAGGGCTTTTGCTCACGGGGTTTCTAATTGGCCACTGAAGATCTGAATAGCTGTTCAGATTAAAAAAACACATTGTTCAAAAACATACTATTAGAGTTAGACATGTCCTCAATGGCTGATGTGTTGTTGTTGGCTCAACCTCCCACGGCAGCCACTTTGTGGTTGCACTTACCAGCCTCTGTCAGAATTCCAAAGCTTCCTGCAGGATCAGAAGAGTTGGAGAGGCCCTGATTTAAGCACTGCATTACACTTCCTTTCCAGGTACAAAATATCAGAACTGAAAGGAAGCTTGCTCATCGTCACATCTGAGTCTAATTGCCTTATATGTACTCCACGTGAATTGTTGATCACATGTATCAAAATCCACAGGGAGTTATGGTAACTCAGAGGTTAAGACGCTGAGCTGCAGACCAGAAGGTCGGTAGCTCAGCAGTTCGAGACCCGAGTGCCGTGTGACGGAGTGAGCTCCCGTCTCTGGCCCCAGCTCCTGCCAACCTAGCAGTTCGAAAGCAAGAAACTGCAAGTAGATAAATAGATACTGCTGCGGTGGGAAGGTAACAGTGTTCTGTGCACCTAGGCATTTAGTCATGCTGGTCACATGACCACAGAAAAAGTCTTTGGACAGCGCTGGCTCTTTGACTTGGAAACGGAGATGAGCACCGCTCCCTAGAGACAGATTCGACTGGCTTTCGAGCAAGGGAAACCTTACTTGGATGAGGTCCTTCCTTGTGAAGAAAATCTTGGGAATGTATTCTTGGCTGACTGAAAAAAGACATAACCCTTCCTGAATCAATCTTGTTGGTGCTTCAACATAGCTCACCTCTGTTCATGGAAATGCTAAATCGAATTTGAGAATTTATTCCAATCCGCCTTCCTTCTGATTGTTTCAGATCATATTTATTTGCCATTTAAAGGGTGCCCTTGATGGACATTTTGCTTTACAGTGTAACATAACCAAAAGGCAGCACTCTGCTCTAAAGAACTTACAATCCAATTTAGAAATAGTGCAAATGTGTGAGTATGGGGGAGACGAAAGGGAAGCGTGTACCACACAGGGCCTTCTATGTTGTGGCACCTTGACTCAGCAATTCCTTCCTCATATAGATTCACCAAGTATCAATCAAGCTTATTAAGTGTTAGGTGCCTGCTAAAAAAGCTGTGTCCCCCCCATTGGAGGCATTCTGATTTCTCCTCCCCTTCCCCCGTCCCTAACTGCCACTACTATGTGGCTCTGGTATTGTGGTTAGATTATAACACATCTGGTATGGCCGTTAGATCTTTTTCCTCTGCTCTGTTTTAAATGATGAAAGACTGTGTTTTGTTACCTGCTGCTGTTTAAATTATCTCCTGACCTTGGCCACTATCTGTTTTATTGATATGTGTAATAAATTTGTTATGGGGCCTGCAAGGTTACAGGCAGAGAGAGGTCTTTTCTACCTCAGTCCCTTGAAATGTTTGGAGATGGCAAGAACCGAACCTGAGTGTGTTCTACCTCTGGGCTATGCATGACATTTTCTCATTCTCTTCTTTCAATTTCCGATGAGCCACCATTCACCTTCCTCTCTGTTCATGTACCATCTTCCTTCTCACCCCCACATCTTGTTTTCAAAGCTCTAACCCAGAGGGAATCCTTTCTGCACTCATTTGTTTGTGCCAGCATGCCTGTGCTCCACCAATATTCTGCAGGCTTAATTTTTTGTCTTAAAAGCAGAGATTTCAGGTGGGAATCAATCCCACCTCCAACAAAAGCCTTCAATCTGACCTGTTTCATGATTGTTCCGAACTGTTCCCTACCCAGTTTTCTTCTGCTTCATTCCTTTTTCCAATGATCCTAGACAGTAGAGAATCACATACAGGAAGTGGTGACATCAAAATATTCTGTAGCCAGTCAGCTTTAGCTATGGGCTGATGTCTTTAAGGGAGAGTTAAGCCCATTAGACTGAGGACAGTACTTCCATGTGATTAGCAGTGGAAGTAACCAGTAGGCGTTGTCCATTTATGTTCCTAATAATTCTGTCTTTAATTACAGTTTCTACTAATTGGCCTGAAGACAGAGATTAAGGTAAATGGCCTGTAATTTCCTGATTCCCTTCTGGGTGAGTGGGCGACAATGTGGCAAATGAAGTTCCATGCAGGTAAGTGTAAAGTGATGCACGATGAAACAAAAAATATCTCAGCTTTAAATTTATGTTAATGAGTTCTGAAATGGCTGAGAAGGAAATCGACCAGCAAGCATCTAAAGTTGTGCAATAGTGGAAAACTGCCTAGGCTTTGTCCCTGTAACTGAAAAAGCGTGCACACACATGAAAGCTTATACCCAGAATTCAACTTTGGTCCCTGCCACACGGCAGAAAAAAACACGGGCAAAGTGCGGCTATTCAGAGCCGCACCAAAAGAAACACACGGCGGTGGGATCACATAGATCCCCTGAGCTGCCGCGCCGTTGCTCCCCGGCACGATCAGATGCCGGGGAGGAAGCCACCAAGCGGAGACCGAGACAGCCGACTGCGCATGTGTGCGCATGCGCAGTTCGGCCAGGAGCCTCGGATGCGCCGGCAGAAGGACGCGCCGGCGATCCCACGGCCGCATTTGATGCGGCCTTTCTGGTAAGTCCACCTCTGTAGGTGGTTTCTTTTAGCTACGGATTTTCGACCTGAAGGGCTGGATCGGGGATGGGTGCGCAACGCTTCCCAGATGTTGCGGTGGGATCGCGCCCGTTTGCTGCACCCCCCGATCCGTCCCTCTTCCGGCCCTAAACCTCCCGTGTGACCGGGGCCTTTGTTGGTCTTAAAAGTGCCACTGGACTCAACCTTGAAGAGCCTGGGACTTTTCAGCTTAGAAAGACAGAGGTTTATAAAATTATGCACAGGCAGGGTGGACACAGAGAACTTTTCCTCCGTGTCCTAAAATATCAGAACTCACTGGCACTCAGTGACGTCAGTGGGCAGTAGATAAAGGATGGACAAAAGGAAATATTTCTTCACTCAACAAGTAAAGTGAAAATGTGGAATTTGCTGCCTCAGGATGTAATGATGGCCTTAGGCACAGAAAGCTTTAAAAGGGGTTAGATAGATTCATACAGGCCTTAGCTTCTATGCCCTGCTGTTGGCTCTCCAGAGTAACTGGTTGGCCACTGTGTGAGATAGGATCACTGGTTTAATTTGGCAGAGCTCTTCTTAAATTCTTCAAGACTGTTATGTTTTTATCCATCCCTTTGTCCACCTTATATGGTTCTGTTCTTCTCCCTTTTATCTTCCTAAAACCCACCTTGGGAGATAAATTAGACTAGGACACACTGAATGACCCAAAGTCACCTGGTGGAATAGTGGAAGAAGAGGAGGAGATTGGATTTATACCCCCCTTCACTCAGAGTCTCAGAGCAGTTTACAATCTCTTTTCCCTTCCTCTCCCCACAACAGACACCCTGTGAGGTAGGTGGGGCTGAGAGAGCTCTTTAAAGGACAGCTCTTGAGATAACAGCTCTGAGAGAACTTGTGACTGACCCAAGGTCACACCAGCAGCTGCATGTGGAGGAGTGGGGAATCAAACCCGGGTTGTCCCAGATTAGAGTCCGTGCTCCTAACCACTACACCAAACTGCCAAACAAGGACCTAGGAGACCCAGGTTCAAATACCCACTCACCCACAGAACCTTGCTGGGTGATCTGGGGCTGGTCACTCACCTTCTCAGCCAGACCTGCCTCACAGGGTGGTGGTTGCGAGAATAAAATGGAGGAGGCAAGGATGATGTAAGCCTCTCTGGGTCTCCACTGGGGAGAAAAGTGGTATATAAATATAAATGTGCCTCAGCAGAGATTTAAACCCGGGTCTCCCCAGTCATAGTAAAACACTCTAACCACTATACCAGACCGGCTCGATAACCCTGAGAGTCTTTTTGAGCCCTGTAAATCTGTAGTCCCATGAAGCGTTACAAGAAGGAAACATACCCAATACCTGACACATGCCATTAACACAGACGTCTCTGCTGTTGTTTCCTTCAAAGCAAGGCGTACCATCGATAACAGCATCCAGCATTTTCTCTGAGAAGTGGTAATTTGCAGGACGGCAGTGTAGTTCACAAGGATTATCTAGGGCGAAACCCAACAGTCGATGTGCATTTTCAATGAAACCGTTTATAAAGACTGCTGTGTAAGATAGCACTGCAAACATACAATGCTATATCTATGAAACTAAACCAGTACCAAGGCTACAATTGGTGGGAAGCTTTTGGGGCCCAGTAATGCAATTCCGGTTTGGTGATCTGTGGTCCCGTTCACACGCGGCGATTTGGTCCGGGAGCGGGACAGTTCGGGGCCGGATCAAACCGGCGCGATCACACCACAACATCTGGGAAGCATCTTGCTTCCGTGGCCGAACTGTCCCATTCCCAGGAAACGCCGCCGCAAACTGAACCACCTACCTAGGTGGTTTAAAGGGAAGCGGCGCGGCAACCGGGGTGTTTGATCGCCGGCGCTTCCTTGCGCCGGCTCAACCCCGGCCCGGATCCAAACTGCGCATGCCCGGACATGCGCAGTTCGGCCGGCTCCCGTTCGGGCTGTGTTTTCTCCCCGGCGTTTGATCGCGCCGGGGAGAAAAGGCGCCACGGCCAGGGGATCCGTGGAATCCCGCCGCGGCGCTTCAACGTTGGCGCGGCTTTTAAAAGCCGCGCCTTAAGAGGCTTTTCCCCTGCCGTGTGGCAGGGGCCTGTGAGTAACAAATTACATGTGTACCTCAGCTACCGTCACCCTGCAACTGAACCCAATAGACTGGCTACAAGCCTGGCACCGATAATTCTACCTGAGCCATTTCTGTGGTCAGATAAAACTTGATGCCAACAAGAGCCTGTAGTACTGACCGACTTTCCCAACACCTTCATAAACTGTCTGATTCTGTTTAGTCTCAGTGGGGTTCTTATCAAATTAAAAAGAGGGGCAGGTTATGGTACATAAGGGGGTTACTCTTGGCAACTGAGTATAGTAAACAGGGTGGAAAAAAACAGGGAAGGGAAGACACACATTCCCCATTTGTTACCAACACAGAACAAAAGGGAGATAAAAATGCTGTTTGTTTTTCCTACAGTGATCACTTAAGAGAGTATGTTATAAGCTGTAATGATCACTTTGTGCAGTTAGGCTATGTATGTATGAGCTTTATGTCAGGCTTAATGCTAGTCAGTGCTTTATTTCTCACAGTGTTCTATGCAGGGGTCATTTCCTGCAGGAGCGCACAGGAGCGGAGCTCCGGCAGTAAAGAGCCAAGGGGGTGGGCACATGTGACAAGCCCCACCCCCTGCTCCCAGCAGCCCTCAGTCAGAGCAAGAGGCCTGGACTGGAGGACCCGGGCTAGCCTGATCTCATCAGACCTTGGGAGCAAAGTGGGCCAGCCCTGGAGAGCACGTTGGATGGGAGACCGCCAAGGAAGTCCAGGGTTGCCATGCAGAGGCAGGCAATGGCAAACCACCTCTGTTTATTTTGTTGCCGGTTTACATGGCTCTCCCCTTTCTCATTTTATCCTCACAACAACCCTGTGAAGGTTTACCCTTCACTTAAGCCTCTAGTAACAAGTGGATTTTCGTACCTGTGTTATAAATTGGAATCCACTGATAGAATTCATTTTTGTAGGCGACTGTATCAAACTCGCTGCATTGCATTTGACGGAAGTTTGGCACAGACTTGGGGCATGTTTTGATGTTACACATGTGGTAGCGTTTCCTCTCTCCTGTGCAATACTTCCCTCCAAACTGTGGTCTAAAAGTGAAATAAGCAGTTCTGAATTCAAGGCCATAAGCATATAAGAACTGAATTCCTAAATCAGACCCTCTAGTCTGGCTGGTGTAGCTTTTCCAGCAGCAATCAGTCAGATCTCTCTGGGCAGTCACAAAAAGGGCATGAAGCTGATTGCTCAATCAGTGACTACCCTGATGTTTGTCCTCAGGATCTGGCACTAAGAGGTAGGCTGTCTTTTTACATGGAGGCTCTATTTAGCTATCAGCAGTTATCATCAATAGTAACGATATCCATTGGGGATGGCCAACCTTTTTATTGGCTCTGCTTCGGGGTCTAACAGTAGTCTGACATCCAAAAATACAGCATTTTTTTCCTATGTCACATCCCAGTATATCTCATGGAGGAAAAACTCCAGCAACTGAATTTCTGCCTAATAGGTTACTCTGAGTGGTGCAGGATCATTGAAAAAATCTGGAAACTATACCTTTAAATAAGTTTGGGAGTATAGGACTAAAGCTATAACAACTGGGGGAGGGTTAGACTGAGAAAAATGGCAATGAGGTCATTCCCAGTGCCACTGTCTTGACTGGATTTGTAGCCCACTTGGTGTCTTCTCTTAAGTAAAAGTCTAAATGCAAGGATGCAACCATGGATTTCTTCTGTCCCATATGCTTTGGCTTCAAAGACACTGGGTAAAAGTGGGCAATCCTTACAAGAGTGGGATCCAATCCTCACAAGGAGTTACACCTCCTGACCAGCCAATGAACAGAACATTCAGCTTTCTGAAAGGACTCAACTTGCACAGTGGTGAGAATGGCAGGCATAGCTCGTTTGTATACTCAGCCCCCAAGCCAACTAGGGTTATGCATGCAAAAGTTTTTTTTCTGCACATATATGTCCCCTATCAGGATCAAAGCTTTACCTTCTTCCAGGGCTCTTTTTGTAGAAAAAGCCCAGCAGGAACTCATTAGCATATTAGGCCACACCCAACAGCAAAACTCATTAGCACATTAGGCCACACCCCCATGTTACCAGAAGTGTGGTCATCCAGCCACACCCACCTTTCCCTTCTTATTCTGTTTATCTTGTTTGTTGTCAAAACCCAGGGCTTTTTTTGTAGCAGGAACTCCTTTGTATGTTAGGCCACACACCCCTAATGTAGCCAATCGTAATGAGTTCCTGCTATTGGGTGTGGCCTGTTATGCTAATGAGTTCCTGCTGGGCATGGCCTAACTCCGTTCCTGTACGTTACTGCCCAAAAATAGCCCTGCCTTCTTCTAGAGTCAAAATGGCCAGTCTGGACTGGAGGAAAATCCCTTCCTCACCCCAAAATGGCAATCGGCATTATCCTGGGCATATGAGAAAGGGCCACGAGAGCCAAGCACTGGCTCATCCCTTCCTGCCCTCCCTCTTGTGAGCCACTCTGAACCACAGAAGGTTGACTGCAATTCGTCCAAGTTCAATTTTAGATTTCCCTCAGGTGTAAGGAAGATGGTACACGATAGCCTTTCAGCTGTCAAGAAGTTAAGAAAACAATCATGTCTGAGACTTACTCTGGATTGTTGCATTGCCTCTCTGCAGTCTGAATGCCGGCCCCGCATGTCCGTGTGCAGTGCGACCACGCTGACCACGATCCCCAGGCACCGTTCACTGGCTCAGGGCTCTTGCCTACGGTTATGCACTCGCCCGATAAGCACCACTGAACAATAAAGCAGCAAATGCAACGTGTCAGGAAATGCACACTCACACACATTGGCATCGATATATATGAAACCTCCCCTTCCCCAGTGACTTGCTGAAGACTGGTGTAATATAAGAGCAACTGCCTCTCCTAGTTTCTACCTGTATCATCCACTGGCATTTATTCAGATGTCCACAGTCATAGGATTTTTTTTCCACGCAGAACAGTTTGGGTAAGGGGGATTTGATGGAACCCTGAGGCACCCCACAGGTCAGCAGCCATGGGGAAGAGCAGGAATCCCCAATGCTATTTTTTGAGACTAACCACTAAGATAGGACTTGAACCACCGTAATATGGTGTCCCTTAGTCCCAGTGCCAAGAGGCAGCTCAGTAGGACACCATGGTTGATAGTACCAAAGGACACTGAGAGATCCAGCAGAACCAGCAGAGTCACATTACCACCCACCAGCACCAGCATTATCATTGAATGCTCCTGAAGCTACAAGTAAAAATTAGGTTAAAAGGCAATGAGATAAGCCAAGTTTATTTACATAGGTACACTCCTACTATCTGGGATAATTGTCCTCTTCCACCAAGCATGCAGCTTTGGGAAGGAGGCACGTGGAGCAGTGAGGGAGGACGGTGGCACTTGCGTGGCCCACCCAGATCAGCCCTGAAGATCGATTGGGTGACAGATGTTGCAACGAGATTGCTCTCACACCCATGTAATAACTGTTGAACAATTGCTAATTTTTGTTTTAACAATTGTATTACTGAAAGTTCTGCTGACTGTGTACTAAACGTCTTGTATTTATATAGGTGTATTTATAATACATGCATACGATACACAGATCTAGTTCAATTAGATTCTTGTCCAGGATATAACAAAGTCCGTGTGAATAACTAATAGCCCATAACTAAATTTAATAATATAATAATATAAATAACTTATAAATACAACATAGTGCAAAAATCAATACTCCATAAATTTCACATAATACATATATTACAAATGTCCCCTATAAAGTGTTTCAATCATAGAAAAAGGTCTTGCCAAATTATTTGTATTTTATGAAAAGCACAATCCCCAGACTAAAGTCTCAAGACTTGCTGTAAATAATACATGTGTATTGGGTTCCAAATGATGCGTGTGACTCCTTTAAGTAATCCAAGCCAAATTTCACAGATTGCAATATAATGTAATCATGCTTAACAATTAGATTCTTGCGTCTGATGGCCATCAGCCAACTTCATAACACTAGGCAAGTGGGAAGCAGGGACTGCCTACGTTCCTAAGATCCCAAATGGCCCCCATTAGTTCCAAAAGGTTTTGGATGTGCCCCCAGTTTGTAAATAACCCCCAGGGAAGCGATACGACCCCAGTTAAGAATAATTTTTCTTTCATTTCTATCTCTATGTATCAAAAAAACTGATTTGAACCTCAAAACTGTCTATCGTTGCTAGTAAAGTCCGTAAGTTTGGACAAATCAGACAGAAATACGTATTTTCAGAACAACTTTTCTGATAAGAGCATCGTGCAATCACCTTATTTTCTCCACACCTTGTTCCATCTGCTGCAGCATCCAATTTTGACCTGCAAGAGCCTTTCACAGCACACCAAAGTGTCTGGCAAATATTCTGTAATAAATCAATGCATAAAAAAGCAAAAATAAAATGCTGTATAGAAAAACAGGATGTTGATAAAGCGATAAATCTCAGCTCAGCTGTCCTGAGCCTACCTTGTCAGGGAGGGAAGGGTATGAATTTAATAAATAAATAAAAATAAATAGATAAACTGGATGTGTCCTTGATTTCAGACTACAAGTGGGTGAGACTGTACCAGCACTTTCCTTTATGACCAGTGGCCAAATCATGGCTGTCAGGAAACAGTAAAAAAATAGTAAAAAAAAATCTCCATCCTGTCCAGCTCCAAAATATTGTTCACCAGGACACCATTCAAATGTGAGACAACAATGACTCATGTAGCCACCTGCATCCCATTGGCTGGGGAGAAGAAGGTAAACACTCCTCCCCCTGTCCAGACTTTCAAAAATACATTTTTAAAATATTTATTTATTTATTAAATTAGATTTATTAGGCCGCCCTTCCCTACAAGCAGGGCTCAGGATGGCTTACAACTAGGCTTGCCAAGCCCTCGCTGGGGGCGGGTAAATTCCTACCCGGGAGGCCCGTTACCCACCGCCGGCAGATTGGGCTCCGGGGGGAACTCCACCCCCTGCCAGAGGGCGTCCCCAGCGTAATGATGTCACTCGGAGGTGACATCATCACGCTGGCCACGTTGTGGGGGGACACTCTGTGAATTGAAGGAAAACGCTACGGTTTTCCCTCGAGTCACGGTGCCCCACCCCCAACGTGGGCAATGCAATGTGCGCTGGAGCCAGGAATCCCCCCGCTTTGAAGGTAAGTCGACTTGGCAGCCCTACTTACAACAGTATTATACAGTCACATACAACTACATTAAAAATAGTCCAATAAATAACAATAGATAAAAACAGTATATATACAATACTTAAGATCGCGGAAAATCCTAACCCCCTGGCCTCCCTGGGAGATAGGGCTATGAGGAATGAGGAACCACATGAGAGTGCCAATGTCAAGCTCAGGCCAAATTAACTTTCATTTCTGTAAGTTTCGCTTCCCTTCCCTTCTCTTTTCATATTGCAAGGGGGGTGGAAGTCCTGAGGGGGGTGTATGTTATGGGAGTGCATGGGGGAAGTAGCCATAACCATTTCTTTTTTTTTTTTTTTGGTAAACAAATTTTATTTTCTCAGGAATACAACATATAAAACATTTCATTCTATCAATTGTCTGCCCCATTCCCAGTTCCTCCCCTCCCTCCAATGGCTTCCCACAATGCTTCCACCCCTGCTCCAAATTACTTCATATCATCAACAATATCAGTTTTTCATCATTACAATCTAAAGATAACATCGTTTGACTTAATATTGATCTAAACATATTAAGTTTTGTTTCACATCCCAGTTCTTTTCCAGATAAATTTTAAAATCATTCCATTCTCCAAAAAACTCATCGTCTTCTTTGTTATTCAGTTTTTTTGTAATCTTATCCATTTGTGCCATGAACAGAACTTTTTGTATCCATTCTTCAACCTCTGGTACCTTTTCTGTCTTCCAAAACTGAGCATAAATCATTCTCGCTGTCACTATCAGGTACCAGAGTAAAGTCTTTTTAGTCGTATTGACTTCTTCCATTTTAAGTCCCAAAAGCAGAATTTCCGGTGCTTTTTTAAAAGAACATTTCAATATTTTTTGCATTTCATTGTGGACTTTTGTCCAAAAGTCTACAGCTTTCTCACAAGTCCACCACATATGATAAAATGAGCCCTCATGCCTCTTACATTTCCAACATTTGTTTGACATATTTTGATTCATATTTGCAATCTTCTTAGGTGTCATGTACCACCTATACATCATCTTATAACAATTTTCTTTAACATTAGTACATGTCGAGATCTTAATAGAGTTTTTCCACAAATATTCCCAAGTTTCCATATCCACTTCCTTATTCATATTAATAGCCCATTTTAACATTTGTTCTTTAACAGTTTCATCTTCAGTATACCATTTTAACAACACCTTATACATTTTAGAAATATTTTTTCCTCCTCCACTCTCCCATACCTTTTCAATTTCATTTTTTTCCTCTCTAAAACCATAGTTTTTTTTGTCAGATCTAAAAAGATCATAAATCTGCATATATTTCAACCACTCATATTCATATTCAATTTCATTCTGCTTTTTCATTACCCACTCTGTTCCCTCTTTTTTAATTAAATCTCTATATGGCAACCAGTCTCTACCTCGCTGTCTTGAGTAAGATATCAACACTTCTACTGGTACAATCCACAATGGTCTTAAGTCACTCTGGTACTTCTTATATCTTGTCCATACCATATACAAAGCTTTTCTCACCAAGTGAAGTTTAAAAAAACTGTCCATTTTTATCTTGTCATACCATAAATATGCATGCCAGCCAAATCTACAATCATGCCCTTCCAACCCCAACAATCTGTCATTTTCAAGCTTCACCCATTGATCCATCCATGTTAGACAAACCGCTTCATAATATAGTCTAAGATTTGGCATTTGTAGACCTCCTCTTTCTTTGGCATCACAAAGTATTTTCATTTTGATCCTTGGTTTCTTGCCTGCCCAAACAAATTTTGACAACTCTTGTTGCCACTTGGCCAACAAATCCGTTTTATGCAGAATTGGTATTGTTTGGAACAGGAACATCAAACGTGGTAGGACATTCATTTTTATAACTGATATTCTTCCCATCAGTGATAAGTTCATTTTATCCCATTTCTTAAAATCTTGAGTCAGCTTAGTCCATAATTTCTCATAATTATTCTTATATAGGTCTATATTTTTTGCCGTTAATTCAATTCCAAGGTATTTTGTTTTTTTAACTACTTCACATTGTACCAGTTCTTGTAGTTCCACTTGTTTTTGTTTGATCATGTTTTTACATATAAGTTTTGTTTTATTCTTATTTACGTAAAAGCCGGCCAATTCTCCAAACTCCTTTATTTTTTGAAAAAGCAATGTCAATTTTTCTGTTGGGTTTTCCACCATAAACATTACATCGTCTGCAAATGCTCGATATTTGTATTGGTGTCCTTTATGTGTCAAGCCCTTTATTTCTTGATCGTACTGTATTTTTTGTAAAAGTATTTCCAATACCCAGATAAATAATAACGGTGATAACGGACAACCTTGCCTTGTTCCTTTCTGTACTTTGAAGTTATCTGTCAGTTCTTTATTCACATTTATTTTAGCTCTTTGTTCAGAATAGATAGCTTCAATACAATTTCTAAAATGTTGTCCCGCTTCAATCTTTTCCATCATCTGGTGCATAAAATTCCAATTAAGATTGTCAAAAGCTTTTTCTGCATCAACAAACAGAAAAGCTACTTCTTTTTCTGGGTGCTTTTCATAATATTCAATTGCGTCCATTACTATTCTTACATTGTCTCTAATCTGCCTTTTGGGTAAAAAGCCCGCTTGATCTTCAGAAATTACCGTTTGTAAATAGTTTTTCACCCTTTCTGCAATAATTTTTGCAAAGATTTTATAATCGTTGTTCAAAAGAGATATTGGCCTGTAGTTCTTTACATTTGTTGAATCTTGTCCTTCCTTTGGAATCAAAGAAATAATTGCTTCTTTCCATGAGTCCGGCACCTTTTTGTTTTCTCTTATTTCGTTGGTTAAAGCTTCCAGGACCGGGGAAATTTCTTCTTTCATCTTTTTGTAGAATTTCGCTGTAAATCCGTCCGGCCCAGGCGCCTTCCCCAACTTTGTCTCTTCTATTGCCTTCATCACTTCTTCTTTTTGAATTGGACCATTTAATAAATCTTTGTATTCCTTACTTATTTTTGGTAGTGGAATCTCCTTTAAATATGTTTTAATCTTCTCAAGATCAACTCTAGTTGTTTGGAATAGTTTAGCATAATACTTGAAGAAACATCTCTTTATTCCATTAGGATCAACGAACTCTTTTCCATCTTCTATTATTTTGGTTATCATTCTTCTCTCTCTTCTAGCCTTAAGTTGCCAAGCTAAGTATTTTCCCGGTTTGTTCGCCCCTTCAAAAGATTTCTGTTGTAACTTCTTTAAATTCCAATACATTTCCTGATTCCAAGTCTCATTCAGTTGTTCCTTCAGCAACTTTAATTCTTTAATAATTTGCTTTTTTCCAGGCTTCTTTTTTAATTCCTTTTCTTTCTGAGCAATTTTTTCTAACACTTCTGTTTGTTTTTGAAGTTTTTCCTTTTTTTGCTTCACGTTTTGCGAGATGAGAATTCCTCTCATCACCGCTTTATAAGCATCCCATACAATCTGTATCGGTGTTTCTTTATTTAAATTTTGTTGAAAGAATTGTTTCGTTTCTTCCTTTAACATCTCAATTACCGTTTTCTTATCCAACAAGTCTTCATTAATCCTCCACAGAAAGGGTTTTTTCCTTTCTGTGGAACTCCATACCACCGGATTGTGATCTGAATTACATCTTGGCAAAATTTCAGTCTTATGTGTTTTCATTGATAATTCTTCAGACATCCAAATCATATCAATTCTGGAAAAAGAGCAATGTCTATTGGAATAAAAAGTAAAGTCTTTCTGCATCGGGTTCCATTTCCTCCAAACATCTTCTAATTTTTCTTGCTTAACTAATTCAAAAAAATTCTTTGGCAATTTTCCGCTGAATTCGTTGTCCTTTTGTGGTTTTCTGTCTAGACGATCTATTGTCCCATTAAAGTCTCCGGCCATAATAACTTGCTCATAAGTCAATTGTTGTAATTGGTCAGTTATATCCTTAAAAAATTTTTCCTTTGCTCCATTGGGTGCGTACACGTTGATCAACAATGTTTTTTTCTGCTGAATCATTAATTCCACACCCACGTATCTGCCATCTATGTCCTTAAAAATTTCTGTAGGTTGTAACTCCTTCTTCACATATGTCACAACTCCTTTTTTCTTGTTTGAGGCCGCAGAACAAAATTCAATTCCAAATAAAGCATTCTTTAAATATTTTATATCCTGTTTTCTAATATGTGTTTCTTGCAAGCATATCACGTTGCATTTCTGTTTCTGTAT